CAGAATGAATAAAAGTGCCACTTTCGGTGTGAACCTTGCAAAATATACGGCGTCGAGCCATAATTCAAAACGTGGACGCGCTCTTCTATGAGTTAAACGCAATGGCAGGATCGCAACCTTCCATCGCTGAATCCAACTTCTCGAATGCATATATTTTCAATTTGTGAAGATAGGTGCGAACTTTCTGAGAATGTGGGCTGCAAAATTCTCGGTTTTTCATTCAGGCCGCGGCTGGAACCGCCATGAATACCGTAATGGTCACTGCCTGCATCCTTCGCTTTGTCTCTCTCGTGTAGTATTCACTCTGTCGAAGATCAAAAGACAGTCAGCTACGCCGGCTTCCTGCAATACATACGCTTGTGAGGGCGAAGCGTGTAGTGGAGCATTTCGGCACACCTGGACATGGCCATGAAGTGAAGCGATTCCATTTTGAGCTCTGCCGCACACCTTGTTGATGGGAAACAACTATGGTAGACCCAGATGCAACCTTGCTTTGAAATTTGCGTCAAATAAAGCACAAAGTCCTCCTCTCTGAATTCCGTTCGACGCTTCTGATGGGAATCTTCGCAGCTCTACTCTTGACACCAAGAAGGAACGGCCTCTTGCCTGGTGCTTGGTGCTTGGCTGTGCTTCAGCCTTTCTCAGACTTGTGATGTTGACACAAAATATGAACGTCTCGGACATGACCAAATTTGACCGGTGTACTGCACTCCAAGTCAATCCCACGACAGTTTGGATGCTGGAATTATCGAACAAGAAAGTTCCTCACAAAGAAGAAAGGAACCGCCAAAAACGAGAGTTCATCACAAGGGGAAAAGCATATCATGTTTTATTCCTTGATCACAAGCTCGAATCGGAGAATGCGGCAGGAATCTCGACCAGCATACGAACAAGGACGTACGTTGAGATGAGGGGCGTTGAATGCGGCAATTATTTTGTTCATTCACATCTCACTTCTGACACCAAAAGTTTAGTCCTCGAATTGGTCTCGACTCGCCCCTTCTTTCAAGATTGATGGAGCTCTTCCGGAACAGGTCCTTGCGGCGAGGCGGATGCTGGCGGATGCTGGCGGATGCCAGAAGGAGAATTTTACTATCTGCAGCATCTGCCATGATCTTTTCTATGTGCCGGGAGGTGGGGAAAATGACCGTTTTGACTTAGAGCACCACTAGGAATGTCCTTGTGATCTCGGGCCGTCAGCTAAAATGCGCAAGTTCTAGCAAAGTCGTATCACTGCAAGCGGAGCGGCCCGAATTGGGAAAGAATATGTGAAATGGCGAACTATTCTCAGGCCGAAGAGGGCGTCTCTGCTGTTGCTAGCACTCCTATGGATACCAAAGCCGCGCAAAAACATTCCTTCATTATGACTCCAATTTTACTTGCGTTTCTCTGATGTCGAATTTGATCCCGACTCCAACAAAGGGAAGAATATATAACGTGACCGCATTAAAAACAGGCGGCGGGAAACCTCCTGAGGCCCCTCACTCATTCCGCAACCACCATGTCATCTTTTCACATGGTCCGTACGAGGACAATCTCGTACCAAGAGAATCGCCCGCATACTGCGACCCCTATTACTCCATTACCACAAGGACCCGACAAGCCTTATATCCAAGGCCTTCTCGACAACAACACCGTTGTTATATCCCCTTCGCTATCAAATCCCTCTCATCTGTATGAAATCACGAACGTCGTAGACACGTCGCTCTCGGTCGCACAACCACAGCAAATTTCCGCCGACTTTCAGCTCAAAGCTGATTCGATCCATGTATGTACCTTTGACGCTACGGTATTATACCCTTGTGACACCGAAAACAGGACCTCGCTGCGCGTGTCCGTACTTTGGAAGCTGGAAATGCTGAATCGGCGCGCAAGATTCAAGCGCTCACGGAAGAAATTCAGAACAACAAAACACTTGCTATTCATCGGCAAGTGTGGAGCAGGGCGCAAGATGGTCAGTTTCTCCCAAATTTCGCCGCATGGATGTTTCTCAACACACCATAATTAGCCCTCGACGAGCTCATATTCACTCAGAAACAACAAGACTGTCTCGACGCTGGATTTACATCGTGTATGTGATTTTGCAGCCAAATTCGCATCCAATTCACGCCAAGAAAATAGCACAGGCTCTACGAGTGGCTTTGAGCAACCGGACCGCCGCCGGCCACACCACCGCTCTCACGATTTTCGACCAAGTTTCACAAGATCTCAAACAAGCCGCATCTGCCATCAGAATTCAGAAGCGGCAGCTGGCGGAACTGCGGACGCCGATGGCGCATCCACAAGTGACCGCCGCCGATTGGCGTCGACTCTCGGATGGGCTGGTTGACGGTGCAATCCGTGACCAAATTGAAGCCAGTATCAAAGAGGATGGAGAGCCCCGCTTTGTACCGACCGTATCTTGAATCTTGGATTGCTCGTGGTTAGGCTATTCTTTTTACAGTACAGAAATTCATTGTTGTTTCTTAACTCCTGCCCTCCGAGCATTGCTCTGTATCCCAAGAACAGACTTGTACACCCTTGAAAGCGAACATGTGCCCTACTACATTCTTAGCCACTGCAGTGCTGCTGCTAGGCGCGCGCACAGAAAATGCTAGGAACAAAAGGCGGCTATTAGTCCCCCCGCTTTTTTTTCAACTCGCTTGCACAGATACAAGTACTTAAGCACATTCAGTCTTGCTTAACGACGCAACACCGGAAAGTCGCTCCACGCAGCAAATACCAGCCTGTGTTGTCCGGTCACCTTCAATCTCTTGCAACACTGCGGACTACTGCGGATATGCGGAAGTGCTCCACCCAAAGTTTGACGCAACCGGGAAGCAGACAAGGTTGCGAGTAGGAAGTTTGTCAAGAGAGTACACACATTCAATAACATTGTCCAGAATCTCGTGAACGTTATTTCCGGCTGATCCGGCGTATCCTAATCCTACATTCATCATTCTCTCTGCTTTCAACTTCTTTCCGTCGAAGAAAGCACCGACTCTTTCCTCTCGGAACTTCCGTTCACAGCCCTTCGGTTGTTGACCAAAAAATTGTGGACCTCTGCCTCATTATTATTCGACATGTTGACCTCGGCTGAACTACGGACGCGTCTCGACGCGCTTAAAGCCATCATAGAAAAGGAACAGGCACTTTGGATGAGCACAGGAAGGAGGAGCAGCAAATAAGCCGTCAACTCAACCTCCTCGCGTCTCCGGCTATGTCCCTACCCCCCGAAATCGTCTCGCATATCTTCCGATATTATGCGTCTCGTCCACGCTGGGAATGGGACGCCGACTGGCGATGCCCAGCTTCCCTGATCCTGCTGCATATCTGCAGCACGTGGCGCACGATCGGGCTCGCGGAATCGTCGCTCTGGACCACCCTACACCTTCGCTTTGATGAATATTACGAAAGGGTGGATGAAATTCATCGACCGACTCCCACACAGATAGAGAACTTTGTTACGAGCTGGGTTAGTCGTGCTCGCGACAGGCCTATCACCCTGACCATTGACGGAGATATGGTGGGTTGTTTAGGCTACGCACGGTGAGCAGTAGTTCCTCACACTGCAATAACTCTACATCAACGTTCATACAGGTCTTTAGCACTCGTTACCCAACTTGCCCCCCACGTAACACATTTCTATCTTGAACTGAGCGGGAGCGTGGACTAGATGGATCTCCAGCTACTGCCCTTCCCGTCAAATTCAATCCGCTGGCCTATCCTCGAGTCTGTCGAGGTCATGTCTGCCGACAACTTTCATGTCATCAACCATATGTTCTCCTTTGCACCGAAGTTACAGGCGATCAGCGATCATCGGGGTGTTTTGTCGCCTTCTCTTGGAACGGTACCCTGGGAGCAAATAACAGACTACCACGGGAAACTGAAGTCTGTCCTGGACGGCATTAAAATACTCGAGCAGGCTGAGAATTTCGAGAATTGCTCGTTTTACCTCACGGTGGTAGCTGACGAACTGGACGACGCGCCTGACACGGTGTCTCATCTGCATCTGAGAGAGCTCCTGCTGGAAGGTGCTTTTGAGATTATTCTTCCCATCCTCACGTTGCCCGCACTGCGCACCTTTGAACTCCGGGCCCTCCCAGAAGATGCCCATACGATTGCCGGGTTTTTGGAGCGCCATTCCTGGCACCTGCGACAACTCCGTATCAGCCACACCCTGGTCACATCCCTCCCCCAAATGCCGGTGCTCACTCACTTGAAACTTACTAGTACTATGGCGTCCCAACAGTCGTTCACAACGAATTGTTCGAGCTATTGCCTAACACAGATTTTCTTCCCTCGCTCCAGCATCTACATCTCGATCGCTTCCGTTCACAGGAGCGCGCCGATTATGAGACGATGGCGCGCGCGTTGACTACCCGTTGGCAGAACTCCAATGGACCTGCAATACTCCGCTCGTTCGTTCTTTGGATCAATTTGGCAAATGACGAGCTCATTGGAGATTTCGAGGAGCTGCTGTCCCCGGTGAAGGCGTTGACAGCAGCTGGAGTCAATATCAGTGTCACAATTGGGGGTGGAAACTGGTGGGAAAGTAGTGATGGCGAGTCAAGTGGCGAGTGGAGAAAATAAGGTTCGAACCATTCATCTAGTTTGGACTAGAGTTGAAAGCTGATGGTAGGAAGGAGATGAGTCGGAATGGCGAAGACTCTGGGCATCTGTGTCGATGCTCTGAGAGTTGGTCCTGTTTTTGCTCCTACACCTTGAAGGAATACGGCTCCAGAGCGTTAATTGTCGAAATCTTGGCAGTCTAATTTCATGCTTGTTGTAATTCAACCTTTGACTCTTTTACACTTGTTTTGATGAGCGGGCAAGATCGTGCCTCAAATCCAATGCGACCATGGGTAGACTGATCTTTTCCAGCGGTTACCGTCGATGAAACATGTGGCGACTAAAAGAAACTCCAATGGATGTTGAATTTGTATCTCGCCAGCCAAAAAAAAACTTCCTTAAAAACCATGCAAAAGACAGTTGACCGAAAAGAAAAACAGGTACTCAATGCCCGCCTAGCTCAATCGGATAGAGCGTCAGACTCTTAATTTAGGCGGGTATCTGAAGGCTGCGAGTTCGACCCTCGCGGTGGGCTATTCATCTTTTGCCTCTTTTTGCTGCCACCATCAATTTTCTTTCTTTTGCCGGCTGTGCCCGACTCGGCGTTTACGAATCGCCACCTTCCAAGAAACGCAAGATTAGCGAGAACGACGATTCTGGTTTATAGCCAAAATGATACCAAGGCAGAAGCACAATTGGCTCGAACTCTACGGATTGACCACCTTGAATGGACAAAACCAGTGGTTATTCGGATGGATGCGATCCCATTGCACACCAACTCCGCCTGTCGCCGTCAAAGATCTCCATGGCGAAAACCAAAGCAGCCAGAAATGAGTCGAATTTGAAATTCATCACGGCGCAGGACGGGGACAGCCAAAGGGTCGGGAGCCAGGACAGCCGAGTTGCTTGAACAGAGAGACCGTACTTTTATTCCTTTCCATTTTCATACACGGGGAGATGCTATAAGAGACATCTCTCACCGAGCCCGGATCTGTTTTGTGTGGGTCCATTTCGTCGACTACTAAAACTTTCGGCCCAGATCTCTCTAAAACAGCTCGAGCCAACACAGCCATGCCCTTCGCCTTTCGCCACCAGCCTTTAAAAGTCCTATACCTGACTAGTGCAATCTGCTTTCTCCTCTTCGTTCGAATCCCTATTTGGACGGTTCAATATGCATTCCCATTTGGCCGCCCTCGTCGACAATGGACATTGAGGCGTTCCCTCATCGTCTCTTGCCTCCATGCATTCCTCGACGTCATGTACAGCACGACCATTTTGCAGTCGCCTTCCATCGAGAAACTTGCCAAAGAAGGTGGAAATTCTGGTTTCGTCTGGATCGAGGCTACACCCTCTTTCATCGTCGGGGATATCCTGAAAAAGGCAAAACAAAACGGCGTTGAAGCAGTCCGAACTGGAGGCTTTTGGTTTGGGAAGCGGGGAACGGATGGGAAAGCTGGTCAGAAAGCTGGGCCTAATGAAATGGTTTTCTATCATTTTCATGGTGAGTTTTTTTCGCAAGCTCACATCTTCTTGTATGTTCGATTCAAAGCATACCAGGTGGTGGATTGTCGTCAGCCTTTCTCGATCTCTCCCGGTTATCAGTAACTCAATTAATTTTAGATGGGCACATCCGATCCTTCCAATTCAGTAAACCAAACTCTTTTCGGCGGCCTCGTGCAATATAGCAAAGTTGGACGTGTGTTTGCTTTGGAGTACCGACTTTCCTCTGCTCCTCCCTTTGACTGCCGCGCTCCATTTCCGGCCGCTCTCATTGATTCCATTGCCGGTTACCGCTACCTCGTGAAAGACATCGGATTCAATCCGAGCAATATAATCATTAGCGGTGACTCGGCTGGGGGCAATTTGGCATATGCTCTTGCTCGTTACCTGTCTACCGAGGGCGGGCATGGTCTCCCCAACGCCGGTGCACTTCTCCTCCTCTCTCCGACGGTCGACTGGGCAAACACACATACCGGATCCAACTCTTCTATGGACCTCAACTCGCACACCGACTTTGTTCATCCGGTCTTCACCAGTCAACACCTTCAACGCTTTGCGGGGCAGTCTTCCTGATGACGAGATGGCCACAAACTCGTGGATATCTCCCGGCTCGCTGAAAGTTGCGGACACACGTGGGATATTTTCCGCCTTCCCTAAAACTCTGATTGTGTCCGGGAGCCTCGAAATGACTCTTGATCCCATGCGCACTCTGAGAGAGAGGATGGTTGCCGATATGGGGAAAGACTTGGTGTGCTATATGGAGGTTCCAGAGTCAACCCACGACTTTCTGACGCAGGCATGGCACGAGCCGGAGAGGACGACTACTTTGAAGGAAGTTGGAAAATGGGTTGATAATTTGTGATGTGAAGATCCATTTGATTTGTTTTCTTACCTTTTTCAATGCTGTCTCAGGCGATCGACTCATGTCACAGTTTCCAGGTGCCTTGTCTCTTGCTCAATACGTCCGACTTGGCCTATGTAATAACGGTTACTCCATGGTTTCTTCCACTATTCCGCCGCGCTACCACTAGTCCGAATAACAGCCGCCGGAGTTTACTGCTGTACAACTTGCTGAGCAACTCGGGCAGCTCTGGTTTAAATTTGATAATTCACGCTCCTTCCTTGATTCTTTCACTCAAGACCAAAATCATAACATCCCCGAAATTCCGTAATCGCAATCGGACAGATCTTTAGTTTTTTTTCTCTCCCGGTTTCCTCTCCAAATTTAGAATTCAGTCTTCTCGTTTGTGGCGTCTGATGAACGGGTTTTGCGTCCCATTTAATTCATGAATCTCACCACTTTTCCACGTCTTTCAGGTTTCCTTTCCAAGCACCCGGAATATGGACCGAAGCTGCAATGATGTCTTCTCCCGTCTTGGTACAGATTCCCTCTGTTGTATACACCTTCTAAAAACCTGCCATTTCTATGATCCTGCCGCGGAGTCGCTTATCTCAATCCCATAAAGATAAATCTTGAATCTAGATCGATGCTTGTGCTACAAGTTCTTTCCTCGCAGCGCGATACCAATGGGCGGCCCCCGGAATCTGTGTTTTTTGAACAACAGTGCCGCACCGGTCTACAAGTGCTGCTGCCATTCAATAGATCTCGATGTCGCCAAATAGGACAGCCATATTTCCTCCGCTATATTTATTGCGGCGGAGTCCTGCCCGAGTGCCTTGACCTGTTGAATAAATCAACCGACCGAAAACGAGCGAGCGCAAGTGAACCAGGCCCGAAGAGAACTTTGATGCTCTTGTTTCTTGACTTGAACCAACAACTTGAGGGGTTGTCACTGAGTACTCGGAAAGACTCAGAAGGAGGACCAAAAACTTTCCTGCTGAAGAGAAGAAAAGCCTTTGACCTAAATTTCGGTCATGAAAACAGCTGAAGAAGTTGGTACGGCGTGAAACTTAGTGATTAGCGAAATAAATATTTTTGCAGTAATTGAAAGGCAAAAACGTGAAAAAGTGACTAGCCCACCGCGAGGGTCGAACTCGCAGCCTTCAGATTATCTGAACCCCCGCCTTGCGGACTTCGTAAAAGTCTGACGCTCTATCCGATTGAGCTAGGCGGGCACGAAAGGGCGTCTTGCTTTGCAGTCAAGTCAGCGATTTCGTTGACTGCTTCCTTCCCGTGAGGAATTAACCAGGAGCGACGTTTGAGGAGAAGGAGCGACGTTGGGAAAGTCGACGGGCGCTGCTGAACGAAGGACGTCGATACCGACTGAGCAGGGGAAGGCATTGGTGTACGTAGTCAGGTGGGAGGGGAAGTGTTTCCAATAGGCAAACTAGACGCATCCTGCCGCGGTGTGAGGATTATGATGGTCAGAATGTGTGACCGATGGCACGTGTTGGTCTCACGAGCCTTTTACAACGCAATGGCGGCGCAATGATCTTGTGTTCAGGTCGTAATTCAGCAACGCGGATATAGCATGCAAAAAATATTTTTCTGTATTGCAATTGGATTGCGAGCGATAACGATTGCCGCGCTCCCAACATTCCTGCTTGATTGCCAGCCCGGCGATCAATCGCAATCTTTCGGGGAATTTGCTGATGCTTACTTTTCTTCCTTTTTCATGCGGTGCGATATCCCGAAATCTTTCTTCCGCGTCAGGCTTCCAAAGCTCTTGACTCTGCCTCTGGAGTTTTCCAACTCCATTCTTTTCGTGGAGAGCCTATACCTTCAATGACGTCGAATCTTGTGCATCTAGCCGGGGGATGTCAGCGTTTTACAGCTATCCGCAAAACCGTAGACGTTTTCGGCTGTAATAGGAATTCTAGAGTAGTGGCTGTGCGGACTTCTACTCGGCAGACTTCTCGATGGCACGTGTTTTTTCCTTCAACTACGACAGACGCGACACAGCGCGATGGCGACTCACGACTTCAATAGGATTTGGTATGTTATCTCATGCATGTCTTGCGACGAGTCTCGTTGACCGTTCCTTTCAGAAATGCTTGCTACGCGCTGTTGGCAGGAATCGGCGCAATCCATACCTTAGCATACGTCGTGGACTGTCCCTCTCCCTCCGGCGGCTAGATTTTCGTGGCTTTTCTTTCAAACTGGATGATTTGATTCTCACTGCATTGGTCTACTTGGAAGATATGCTCCCATCCTAGTTTTTTTGGGTTTCATTGGCTTCACTGCGTGTTTTTTTCTTCTTTTCTTTCGATTGGATGCGACAAGTCTCCACATGGGAGAACACAACTTTTACCGGATGCGATGACCGATGGGAGTCCATGGGACTCCTTTTCGGCGCAAAATTGCTCTCTCTATTTGTCTTGAGATCTATTTCGTTGGGTTCTATAGTTTTCTTCATTTGTTTCAGCTGAAAGGTCCGGCTTTCGAGCCGCTGTCGGTGCAGAAGACTCCGAAGGTGTGCTTCGGGGCGAATCATTGCCCAATCAGGACGACATGTCCCGTTCCGCGCTGTCTCAAGGAATTATTATTATTTTCGTGAATTAATATGTCAATATACGGGCGCAAAGCATCGACAAACTAACCCTGGCCTTGACCGTCTTTCTCTTCCACACCCCGGATCCTCCTCCTCCTCCTCATCCAACCCGGTACATCCTTCTGTATCGTACAAACGCTCTTTCTACGCAACCCTCCCTGTCGAACCGGTCCTCCAAGCAGGTTCGCTCTCTTCCTCTCTTCCTCTCTTCCTCTCTTCCTCTCTTCCTCTCTTCCTCTCTTCCTCTCTTCCTCTCTTCCTCTCTTCCTCTCTTCCTCTCTTCCTCTCTTCCTCTCTTCCTCTCTTCCTCTCTTCCTCTCTTCCTTTCTTCCTCTCTTCCATCCTCTTCCGCCCTCTCCTTCTTTTCCTATTTTTACCCTCTGATATCGTGCTGTTTCATCGCAGATGAAGGGCAACGCGTCACAGGCGCCCGGCACCACCGCGTCAACGAGCTCTGTTGCGAGCAGCTCAAGTCTGGTATGTCTTTTCCCTTCATCTCTCTCCCTAAAACCAACACCTGACCGTCCTTTTCCTTCCAGAAATCGACGAAAAAGCGAAAACGCGATGTTGTGCGTCTATCGTTTTTCTGCTGTAATTCTCGCTCTTAGTGGCCCTAAATCAGCCTTCGGACGCTACGCCTGACCACATTGTACGGCTTTTGTTGTTTCTGTTACACCACGGCCTGATCTCTTCATTCCCTTCCTAGACGGGGTCTTCAAGTAGGCCGCACGTGACCGCGACGGACGACGACGAGGTACGCGTCTTCCATGATTATTTTTTTTGTCCTCCCAAGAGTCGATTGGCTTATCCTCTTCTCTTCCTCGATTTTCACGCGCATATATCCATGTTAACCGATCGTTTAGGACGACCCGCCGCCTAACAAGGTACGCCTCGCGGCGTCGTCTGCTAAGGTGCGCATAACATTTGGCGTTTCTTTCGACGTGTCTGAATGACGCTGTGCAGACTCCAGTAGGAAAGGGCAAGGGAAAAGAGGTATGCATATATTCAGGTGCTTCTGCTGTGACTAACGCGGAAAAAGGAGGTCCGATACACAACAAGGACATAGACTTCAATTTCTGCCAGATACGAAATTTAATCTCTTCGGTTAGGCTTTCACACCGAAGGAGGCCAAGGCGGGGAGTTTACGCAAAAACACCCATAGGCGAGAAACCCGTCACCTCCAAGCCCTGGAGAATCCGGAGGCTGCCGTAGCGCAACGTCAAGAAAGCGGGCGCGCACGGAGCGAAATGATCTCTACGTGGTTGAAAGAAAATGTTGTCCATCTCGCTCGACGCACGCAAGCCCTCCAGCGTGCCGCTGCATCCTTCGCCCACGCCACCGATCCGGAGGTCGTGCAAGCCGTTGGCCGGGCGTTCACCACGCACATGATGCAGACGCCGATCCCCCCCGAAGTAGTAGACGAGTTCTCGACCCGCACTCTTGCACTGCTCGCCGATATCGCGCGTGATCCCACCGGCTGGAATCCACAGCCGCACCTGAAGAATGGGACTATTGTCGTGAGTGATCCCGACGGCCCGGCACCTGTTTCGGCGGTCGCCAATTATATTCGGCGCATTCATGTCGGCGAGATGGCCATTGAAGCACTCTGCCAATACGCCATCACCCATCCCGCCGACATACCCCATAGCATTATCAATCTTCTCCTGCTTGGGGAGACGCCCGCCAGCATCGTAGCTTCTCTTCGTCCAGCAATGATCGAGTATGGGCTGGAACAAGCTGTCGATGTTTTGTCGAACGAGTTGGGTGGAATCCTGCCGCTCCTCAGGACCAGCAAACCCACGGCGGAGACGGCGCTGCCGTATGCGGGCATCACGCACGCCGTATCATGCGGCAAGCGTGGTTGGGATGACCTCAACGGCAACGCAGATGTCCGGATCGTCAATTTTTTGCAATCTGGCGATGAACCACTTAGCTTCACGACGTACCACATAGTCGATCTCGATTCCCCCATCGACAGCCCTCTCGACATTCGTACCTCCCCCGGCATCAGCCAGAAAGAGAGGATCGTCAGGGCGGTCCTTGGCGCCGCTGCCATGAATTCCGCTGACGGCGGAGTTTTGCCTTTCTTCCTTCCTTCGGCGGAGCTTCTTCTTCTGCGCGATAATGCTCGGGCGTCGGCCCCCGCCGACCCGGCTCCACTTGGTGAAGATCGCGACCTCCAATTGGAAATGCAGCTTCGCGAACTAATTGACGACGAGGTTCGCAGTGTAGAGCCTCTGCACCCAGTCCGAATAGTGCCAAAAGCTCTAGAAGCGGTCAAGGACAAGGTCGCCAGTGTCCTCCGACTATGTCAAGGCAACGTTGTCTACCTCGAGGTCACGAAGGATATCCCTTTAGAAGGAATCCTAGCGAAATGCGGCGGTTATTGGAGTGAAACCGTTGGGCGTGGTCCCCAGGAGGATCGGCACTTGCGACGCTGTTTCCATCCCGAGATCCCGGCCACAGGGGATCTCGCTCTCCCTACTATAGCCCGGTACATCGGCCCATACCTGGATTTCTGGAGGGTCACACTCCTTCACATGCTCTACTGGCTACACGTTTTGTGGTTGAGTCGTCTCCTGGCGCACATCAAGCCTTTGGTTATCAGGACTCAATCTAATCCCGTAGCAGCTATGGTTCGCTCCGGTGATCTCATTACATGCTGGGACTTGCTGTCCGACGATGAGAGTCAACTGTTTATCGGCGGAACCACTCCTATCGGACTGCATGACCGCCTCCGTCACAAACCATATCCACAGTATCGAGGGGGAATTTTCAACGACTCGCTTGGCCGGATAACGGTGGTTCAAACCGGTTCCGATCGCGCCCAGCTTTCCCTCCACATCACCTCCGCCGATGCAGGCCGAATAAAGTACGACCCTGTCCTTGCACGTTGTCGCTGGGAGGTCGACTTTCTCGTCGGTATTGTCACTAAAACCGTCATTCAATTGACTACATCAGCACTTCGAGAAAGAAGACAGCTCGAGCGAAACCATGAGGCAGAGATGCGACGCTTCCTGGGCAACGTGAAGGGCGAGGCGGAAAAGATTCTGCAGGGGGCCGGCGTCTCTCAGGCTCTGGCGATCGCAAAAAATGCCGCCCGCAGAGCAGAGCTAACGGCCACATTTTTGAGGGCCATGGCTTCCTCAAAGCGCGCACACGAACGTTGGCTGGAGGAAGGTGGGAACGCACAGAGTCGACGGGGGGGGATTATAGCCGCTGTGGGCGAAGAGGCCCGGGAACGCCAGCTGGAAGAGATCCTTTGCCAAGCACGACTCCTAGACTCCTTCGGCCTCCCTCCAGATCCCGACCACCTTGGCTCATTTCGTTACCCTATCCTCTCCACGTCTTTCCCCGCCTTTATCCGCGGCCTGGAGGACGGCACGGATATCGTCTTTGCGTCAAACGCTCTAGGACGCACCGAAGCTGGGGCGAAGGCGGCCGAGGCCAACCAGCAGGCAATCGGAGAATAGCGCAAGACCCACAAGGTCGAGGTGTTCGTCGACCCGGTGGCCATCGCTCGGAAGAATATGCGAGAGGCGATAGTGAACATGGCGGACGCCGCTCCGTATGTCGTCACGGAGCTCGCGAAGAGCTGGCGCATGGGGCGCTGCCCGACGTGCT